TAATTGTATGTTAGGACCTAAACAAATTTCAACGGGTCTTCCCCAGGGCTCTCCGCTGAGCCCTCTTCTTTTTAATATCTATACGAACTCCATCTATGAAATAATACCTGAAAATATTATCCTGTTGACATATGCAGACGATCTTACAATCCTTATAAAAGATTCAAACACACTTAGAATGGGCAATCTTATGAACGAGACACTCACTAACATTGCTGCATGGATGAATAAACATAATTTTCAAGTTTCCGTTGGAAAAAGTGAATGTGTTTTGTTCACAAAAAATAATAGCAAGAAAAATATCCTTCCTAATCCCATCATTTTCAATGACCAAATCATACCCTTAAAAAAACAGGTTAAATACCTTGGTGTCCATCTCACACACAATCTTAATTGGGAACCTTACATTGAAACAGTTAAAATGAAAAGTATAAAAGGCATAAATATTATGAGATCATTCAGCAGAGTCTGGTGGGGAGCAGATCCGGCTACTCTTCATATGGCATATAACGGCCTTGTTAAATCACATCTAGACTATGGATCAATTTTTATCAAACCTTCATCTATCCAGTCCCTAAACAAACTTGATTGTTTTCAATATCAGGCGCTTCGAGTAATAACTGGATGCATGAGATCTACTCCGACAAATGCGCTGTTGGCGGAGACTTCAGAGATGTCCCTGGACTATAGACGTAAATGCTTGGCTACAAAATTTTTATTAAAAATTATAACAATCCAAGGACATCCACTTATTAACTGCCTAGAAAAATTAAAAAAATTTTGTATGACTAATCTGGTTACTGGTACCGCAAAGAAACTCCCTACCTGGTAGAAGCCTTTGATATGATCATTCCTTACAAGGACGAGATTTACTACTCAAACAAACTACCATGTTTTGAATTTGGATATGATCTCCAGTTATGGGAAGTCCCGTCCATAAATTTAAACATTAATAAAGATTCATTATTTAATAATACTTTATTTAAAGAGACTACCCAGAAGTTTTCAGACTCTTATTCCTTTGTATTTACAGATGCTTCAAAATGCGATGTGGGAAAAAATAATGAAAAAACAGGAATTGGGGTGTACATTCCAGAAATTAATTTTTCATTTTCATCCCGAATACCTAACTTGTTAAATATTTGCAATGCCGAAATCGCTGCAATTAATTCAGGTATAAGTATCTGTTTAAAAAAAAATATAAAAAAATGCATTGTTTTTACTGACTCACGGAATGCTATTTACAAACTTTCTCAGAGAAGAATACACTCATCAAATGACTACGGCTCCCTATGTACTAAACAGCTCTTCTACGACTCCATAGAAAATGGAATGGACTATCGCATTGCCTGGATCCCTGGACATACACACATCGATGGCAATGATAAAGCTGACACGTTGGCATCCATAGGAAGGATCCTCAATATCCCCCAACAAATACCATTAGATAAGTCAGAAATATTATGTAAGTTGAGGCATCAAATTTGGCTAAAATTCAATGAGTCCTGGTACAATCTATCCCTTAATAAGGGGAAATGGTATACATTAATTCAGGAAGGTTTTCCAATATCACCTTGGTATAACAAATTTCCTTTCATTGATAGAAGGCACCTCACCACCATAATTCGTATGCGAACAGGACACTGCCTTACAGGAGCCCATTTATTTCGAATTGGTTGCAGAGAACATCCTTACTGTGATTGTGGAAAAGTTGAGGACCTCAATCATATCATACTGGAATGCCCTATAAACTATATACCTGAGTTGGACCTATACCATGAATTTCAAAATCTTGGTTTAAAATCTCCTCTATCAATGCAAACCATTTTATATAATATGAACTTCAAAATAATGCTACTCCTAATGAAATTTATAACCTATAACAGAATTGACTTATAGTATAATAACAAAATTACTCTTACAGATCCCTACTTTTTATAACCTGGGTGCTACTAGTCCGAGGCAACATTTCGGGTGTGTAATGCTCCGCCGTTGCTCCGGAGCGAGAAACGTGTCTTCCTTTGTTGTGCTATCTGTCTTATACCTACCTCAAAAATAATTATTCACCTGGTCAGTTGGTCTATACATTGTCTTTTACTGTAAATAAGTTAATGTAAAAATATATATATAGTCATAATTGCAGAATAGGATGTTTATGGAATCACCTCGAGTGAGACAACCTAAACATCTGATGGAAGGGTGATGGAACAAATCACCGATGACTGGCAAATTGCCGAAAAGGCAGAGCCATAAGAAGAAGAAGAAGAAGAGCAAAGCCAAAAGAAGAAAGAGAAAGTCTGTCACTTCCCAAACTGGCGGACTCATCAACGCGACGGATAAGCGCGAACTTCTCCCGCCAAGCGAAGTGAGAAGTGACATTGCTGTTTGTTACCAATGGTGTGATTCAGTGTTCATGTAAAAGTAGTTGTTTCGAAATAAGTTTTTCTTTCATGTAATTCAATGTTTATATGAAAGTAGCTGTTTCAAGAGGGCTTTTTTCTTCTAGTTTGTGTCTGAAAGTTACTTCTTTGCATGATCTACACATCCATGTATAGAGTAACTTATTTATTTTAAAATTGATCACTTCCTTCCTTCTTCTGGAAGATTCCCACATTTTTTGTATCAAGATGGGGTAGTAGAAAGCCAAAACCTTTCCCAAAAAGAAAAATATATCTTGTAAAAACCAAATAAATAGAATATACAGGCTGATTCAGAAGATTCTTCGAGTCAATTTAAGGAAAAAATTCAATACATATGTCCGGAGTTGATTCTTTTCTGAAATACACAGAATTGAAAAAAATATTTTTATAAATATCCTTATACCAACTTTGTCAAAATTCATTTAATAAGTAGCTTATTTAGTCCTAACTAGATTGAAATTAGAAATTATTCATCTTAATATGTTTCACAAACTACACCTAAACGATTTGATCACCAGAAACTTTTTTGTTTGTGGAGATCAAATCGTTTAGGTGTAGTTTGTGAAATTACTATGGATCTTCATCAAGTAACGGCCGAATCAATTAGAAAAAAGAAAAAATTTATGTGATACCTCACAAAAATGTATTATTATATAATAGTCATGAATTAGAAAATTGGTTTCTTTCTCATGCTATCTATTGAAGGTCTTGCATGTAAACATCTTGGAAATGTTAAAACAATAACCCAAGTAAGGGGTTGATTTCCCATAATTCTTGTACCACTTCCCTAAATGTATATATTAATTATTTTTGCTATATTTCCCAACCAAACAACATACAAAAAATGGGTTAGGAAAATTGGAAATCTTTTCATTTTCAGGAAAGTGTAACACCTAGGTATAAATTGAAGTACTGCTTTTGTGAAATCAGTTTTTTTATATAAAAAAAGTTGTTTATTTTGTTATGCCATATGAATTCCCGGGTTCATGGGACAGTAAAAATAAGCTCAACCTCATACCCTACAATTACAGTTCAATCAATTAGCTTTTATGGTTAATCTTATATTTACAGCCCCATAAACTAACTAATGTATATGGCATGACCAAATAAGTAACATTTTTAAATATAAAAACCGAATTTCATGAAAACCCTCGGGAATTCATCATCTTTGAATATAGAGGCCTATTTTTCAAAAATGCAAACTTTCTAGTTTCATGTCTCATTTTTTTCTATGGTGTTCAGTTAGGAAACATTACAGTTATAATTAGCTTCTAAATATATAAAACCATACAAGAATTTTAGACAAATTATCCCTACTTGGATTATTGTTTTCAATTTTTCAAATATTTTCATGTACACCATCTACAACTGACGGCATGAGGCTGAAACTTATTTTTCATTTAGACTTTGAAAGTATGAGTCTTAGAACAAGTTATCAACAAAAGCTAGTTGTACTATGTTAGAGGCATCCCTGCAGCTGGCTACAAAGAAAGCATTCAAGTCGGCTAAAAAGGCGTATCACTTTTTTATAATACAGTAGAAAAAGTACAAAACTTATATCTTAATCATGCTATATCATTTTCAGGTGCTTAGAAATAATTTGATTTTACTTGTTACATAATTATTACAAATTTCATCTACATTAAAATAGTCTTCACAAATGAAACGAGTGGTCTTTGCTCAGTACTCTTTAAGACCCTGCTACCATCCAAGCTATTGATTCATAGGACCATTTCACAAATAGCTTTTTTGACAAAGACTCAGTGGTATTCTAACAATACTGCATCATCCAGTATCTTTGAACCATTATTTTTCAAATGAAAGTCTTCATAGAAACAGCAAAATTACTCATCAACTTCATAAAACTCAAAACTGAACATACTCGAAAACAGCCATAAAAATAACAACAGTGTAACAACAAGTATTCACACCGGTAACTAGAGCAGTATGATTTACATTTAATGTTACCAAGAAATATACTTGAAGAAAATGTTCAATTAATTTACAAGCACATCAATATGAATGATGATGGATGAAGAATTAAGATTGATTATTAAAATCTCAATAGTGAATCAAGACAGTTTTTTTTAATAATAAAAATGTTAGTCGATATAAAGTACTTTTTGTATTACAATCAACCTTAACATGTTGAAAAATTATATTGAAAAACAAAACTCAACAAGTTCTTTGCTATATGCAATAGGCATAGGCATAGAAATGCCAAACATGTTGAAAATAAAATTTACCAATTTGCTATTATTATTATTTATTTTATTAAATTCCGACATTCAACTCAAAATATAGTGATTTTGTCTTCTAAATCATTTATGGACTTTCTTTGGCTTCGTCGAATCGTGATGAAATAACTTATCATATTTGAAAGGGACAAAGCATCTGCTGTGATCTGAGGATTGTTTGAAAAGTTCGCCTCTGTTTTATCTCTTAACATGGGCATTATATGGACTGAAAGATATCAAAATTGGTCATGTTACATTATTATTTCCATTGTTGTCACAAAACTAGCAATACACCATTAAACTATTGAATAATGCCAGTTTATAACGTATAAAAAAGATAGCATTCTGTCAACATCATCTATTCCAATTTTTTATTTCTACAATAACTTTACATAAAATTACATGACATTCAGAACACTGAAGAAACACTAGTTTCATCACGTTTGGATAAAGCAAAATCTGCAACACATGTATATGCATTACTATGAGATTAATATTGAAATGAAAACGAATCTCAATGTTATCCTGAATCAAGTTGGATCAAGTGAAGAAACATTTAACAATGAGTCTTGATGAACTTATAGAACACATTTTGGGCTTTTACTGAACAGATAATCCAATAAATTCTGATTTATTTATGGGATTTAGTAAGCAATCTTCGAGGGTGATTGAATAATTCTTAAACTAACCACTTTTCTGAACAGTTTTTGCATTCCCAAGAGAAGTATTTTTTTATACTCTGCCACCACTTCTGAGAAAGGCAAAAATGCTATTGTTCTTTCGATATGTCACAAAAGGTATATCGTCCTGAAAATATTTATTGGAATATGCCACACTTCTTCATCTTCTTTCTTAGGTCATTCAACTTCCTATTTCACATATTATTGGATGCATAGAGTCCTGTCATTCTAAAGTGTAACAACTGAATGAAATAATCCCATCATTTATTCCAACTTCCTGCCACTGTAAAAAAAAAGAAACTCAAGAATACTCTCATAGAATATGAATTTCGTTCAAAAATAATTCTTATCAATATGATTTGAAAATTCAAATTTCTTTTATTAATAGTCAGATTGATAGTATGGAAAATAAGCCTCAAAAAGTGCCTCGACTGATGACTACCTATTTTCAAAACTACCTCTTCTCTTAACATACTACTTCATTTTTCTTATAAAGTACATTGAAAAAACATGTTTGTGACTCATTACGTGATCAAATTATAGTCATTTCTGAATATCATGATACCTTCAGTGATGTTTCAAATGATATATTCATTGTTTTTTCTTCAAGTCATTAAGTATACTATTCATGGCTTTAATTTTCTCATTCTGTTTCTTCAGTTTTGCACGGAGGTAGTTAATCCTTTTTCTATATTTCTGAAATGTTTGCTGGGATACATTCCAATATTGGTGGCGTTTTGATTTAATCTCGAGATCTGATTCTTCAAAATCTTCTATATGCTCTAGAACTGGTCCTCTATAAAACAGCAAATTATTACACATTTCATTAGTATATAGTATGACAGAAACAGTTTATTTCCCTAAGAAACATACAGTAGGAAAAAAAACAATAATTCAAAAACCAACTATAATACAACATAACTATATACAAATAGAACAAAAAAAAAAGAGAAATCTTTTTATCAAGACATCTAGAATTTTATCTGGACGCTTAACGTCACACAGAAGTCATTGTAACACAAATAATGCCACCCATGCACTCGCAGAACATGTCATCAGCACCAAGCACACAATGAACTATACCGAAGTTAAAGTTTTGTGTACTGAAAGAAACTTACAAAAACGGTTGTTTAAAGAAATGTTCTTTATCGAAAAGGATTACCAACAACGTGAATAAAAAGGCTGATCTCAACAACCTCAGCAATATTTATAATTACATTTTGAATTTGGAGCTAATTCCTCCAGTTTTCCCAAGCAACAGATAGTTTTGGGTTTGGGCGCAGTGCTGAGTCTGTCAAAAACCCGTTACGTCAGTTGGGAGTGATTGGCAGCACTGTACCCAGAGTGAAACCATCGACATAACCTTCTTACAATAATATTCTTTTTCTCTTGAATGATGCTCAAATTTTGCTTTATTTTCTGTGGAGATAAACTTACCAATATTTTTAGTATACATTAAAAAAATAGTGATGAGGAAAGCTATTAGACACTATAAGTTCAAATGAAGACAGTGCTTGACAAACACTTTTCAACTCATCTTGCGAAGGGTAATGTTTATATTTTGTAGGAGTTTCCTTGTTTAGACTTTTTCAGATTGATAACTTAGATTCTTCATTAATATTTATATCTAAAAACTATTTGACTTACGACTTTTGGATTTTTGAGAAATAATTGAAGGTTTGAACTGAGCTAGGTTTAATCACTAAAGAACAAGAAATCTGATTGGTTCTTGAAGAATGAAAAATAATTGACTGAACTTGTCAATAGGTACTAGGCAGCAACCAAAATTATTCCAAAGATTCTTATATATTCAGCGCACCAAAATCATTCAATATATTTACTTACGTCTCTACTTCATAAACATTCTCTTGATGAGATGTTGATTGCTGGGACTCCGGCATATTTAGGTGAATCCTACAATAAAATGTATTACCGTAATTGTATATTGTTTTCACCCATTTTATTAAAAAAAACTTACCGCATTAACAACTGTGACTGTGTCAACTTTAAAGTCGGTATTACATATGGTTTCAATGTTCTGAGCCTTCCACGTAGAGGTATAAAACTATCGGAAGAAAAGTGTTCAGAACATATTCTCCTTGAAGAATGTGGAAGGGTATCTGATGGTCTTTTGATGGCTTCTAACCATTCACTGTATCTATCTTTAGGTATCCTAGAATAATGCAATAAAATTACAATCATATTTAATCTCATTTGTTTTATAGCCTTGCATACACTAATTATTACAAAAATCCTATTTTAGCATTATAAATCATCTTTTTAATTCTAAGTACTACACTTATTTCTGTACTTATGTGGAATTTAGGTTTTCTCTTTCTATTAATATTTATTGGGTAAGTAAACATTTACAACTGCTTTTTAGAAATAATGGTAACTTTCAAGCTAGTACTAGCTACGTGAATCCAAAGTTGTAACTATTGTGAATAATTCAAGGGACTTTAACTTATAAATTGTGAAAAATTGTATTGGATATTAATGTTTTTAGAATTATAACTGACTTACTTATGGAATGTAACACCTTCTCGGTGATTCAACGATGAATTCCTACACCAAAGTACAAAACACCTCATTTTTTCACGAATAACTATCAAGAAAATCAAGCCGACGACGCCGATGAACAAAATTGTCGAAGCCTTGTGTCACCGTCTGAAATTGACAGTCTTTGAGCCTTCTGCACATTGCGCAGACACGTTTTCATAAATTCAATTTGGATGAATTTTCGATTATCAAGGATAATAATATGACCTCAGAGTAACAAAATTATTACTCTGAGATCTGAGAATATGATCATTAGCTTAGCAGTTTGGTTATAGGTTATGTCTTGGAGCAATCACGAAAATTCTTGCCGTGAGAAGGCGCTGAGGGGCGTGATGTCAGCAGCGTTGCCGATTGGCAGGAAATTACCCAAATTGCAGGTATTTTTTAGATCTGTGCTATTGAAAATGATACCTGGTTTGGTTACAGACTGATTGAGTTAGGGGTATATCATACTAATCACGCCTAATCGGCCCCAAGATCTCTTCATATTTCCAGAAAAAAGAACAATTCAAGAAGCAAGAGTTTAAATTGGTCTGTTGACCAATAAAATTTATCGTGTCTACAGCGCTGTTGCCAAGTGTCTTGGTATTCAACTCGGAGTGATAATAAGACATTTGTTACTCTGAGGTTTTCAATATCCAATTAGACAACTAAAATAGTGATCCAATTTTACAAACGCCATTTTTGTTGTTGTCAATTCGGTGTAAATGCAACTGTTATAATCCGATTTGTTTATTACAATTTCATAATTGAAAAACGTTTTCTTTTATGAAAGGTAGGTCTCGGCAGGTGTCAATTTTGTAGCATATTCCGTGCCAATTTACATTCATATGATCAAAGGTATTACCTCAGCAGTTTCTGTTGGATCAGTTTTAGAAGAATCAGTTATGATCATACTTGTGGAAATTCAAACAGAAAAATTAACTATTGCTATATTGGACCTCATTTAAACTTCCTCCCAAGTTTTGGAAGATTCAATAGATTACCCAAGCGAGCCTATAACGCTTGAATTCAATAGTAATATTAGGAAGTGAGATGTTCAGTACACGCCATAGCTGATGGCGAGCGATCACGCAGGTATAGACTCATTCAACAATATTACTATTGGATTACGATAAGCCCCTTGCCGGCCAGTGTCGTACCTATAATTGGTTTTAATTAGGGATCAAATGGAAGATGACTTCTTTGTAATTTCTTTTCATATTTTATATACTATTCTAGGTAGTAGTACAGTTTATTGAAATATTATATAGTGATACACTTATCCAAAAATAAACTCTAATCAGTCATTATCTGAATAAAAATTTTCTTTTTCTTCACTGCTGCTTGTGTTGTTATAGTCATTTGAATATATAATCATTGGATGAACGAATGTTTGAACGTCTGTGAATGTTTCATTTCCCCAATATTTCCGCTCTATGTCTACTACATGTCAACGCTTTTGCCATACCCCGAAAGAGATTTGATCAAGCTTGTACTCTGTCAGTTTCCTCTCACATCTTTCAACTTGAAAGTTACATTATTTTGGGATACGTTGTTTATGACAGTAGCCCAAGTGAGTTCAATGGTATTCAAATCGGGATGATAGGGTGGAAGTCGCAAAACGTTATGTCTGTGTTCAAGCAGAACCTCAGCAACTTTGTAATATGATGCTTTTTATTTATCTTGATCAACCCGTGTAATTCGGGATTGAGCATGTTAGGTGTGAACATAAAATGCTTTTTTCGTGCAGCCACTTCACCACATTATCGGTCACGACTACCGAATTCACAGGTAAATTTTGGATTAAATTTGTTTGCAACCATTTACCATAATTTTCAGAATTCATTTCTGAATGATAATCCCCTGATGTTGTGCCTGATCTAAATATAAGCCGACAATTAGGTATAGAGCTCATGTCATCTCCTGAATGTAATATAATGAGTCTTGGCCCCTTCTCAATATTTTTAAATACCCTTTTGGTTGATTCATCCGTCCAGTTTTTTGAAGAAGTATGTCCACTATGAAGGTATGTTTCATCAAGAAACACAATTGGTCGCTGTTGGCTACGAAAATATTTGATTTTCTGTAAATACTCGATCCTCAATGCTCTAATGTCCATTGTCTCTATTGAAATTTTTCTATTATTTCCAGTCCTCCATTTGAAACCAACTTTAAAAATTCTTCGAAGAGATAATTCAGAAGCCACATTTTTCAAAACGTCATTAATTTTGTGTTGGAACTTTTTCACGTAATACGACAACCCTTCCGTCTTAAGAAAGTCGTAATTAATCCGTCTGATATTGAAATACTCATACTCGGGAATATCAGTTACTGGTGCTCTCTAGGCCGCTTCTTTCTTGGGGTGAAAAATTCTACTTCTCTGTTATTTGCAGAAATTTATTGTTCCCCTTCTTCAGCTACTCTTTCAATGGTTCTTATTGAAATACCTAATACAAAACAAATATTTTTGTTGAAATAGTTATTTTTTAAATTTATTTAATGTTACCTGTAGCGAAAGATATTTTATTTTTCACATTTGATAACGTATCCGATCCACATTTAACACTTTGAAAATAATTGAACACTTTAAAAATGATTTCACGTGTATGAATCTTGATGACTGTTTTTATGTTAGGCGATGACATTTTTCCAGAAACAACAAAAATTATTCAGACAATGCCAAACGCCAACAGTATTGGAGGACTAGAAATGATTCGCCTCTGTACAGAACATTAGTATGTCTTGATAGAGCTGTAGTGGGGGTTACATTGAAAATGAGTTTGTGCGCATGGGGACGGACTCGCCATCACGTTTGGTGCTCGCTGTATGTAGGATGCATGCATGTGTGCGCATTGTGCATAACAGTAGCAAATGTTATATCAAATATTGGCAAACAATCAAGTTATTTCACCGGAGTCGACATTTGTGTTGGCCAATAAGAAATAGTTATTTTATAATAGATTGTAGTTGAACAGATTGAGAATTGTAGAATGAATTGAACAAAATTTGAAATTAATCTTCTTTCTTATGTATTAACTTTCATACCAACTATAAATGGTTGTAATAAAAACTTTAATCCAGTTTGCTACATTTGTTGATTTTCATAACTGTATATTATTAAGTAATGTATAAAATCAAATTTTAAGTGAATATTTTGTGATCTTTCGATTTCGTGTACTGATTTTAGATATAGAAGTTATTTCCAACCGTGGTTTTCATGTACATTTCATTTCATGTGTAGATTTTTTCATTAATTTAATCGTTAACGGGTTCATATATACTTCTATTATTAAAATTTCTGTGATATCAATATGAAAATGTCTACTTCCAGAAATATTTTAGAAATAACGTTTTTCAAGGCCGTGCCCAGATTTTTGTTTCGGAGGAGTGTCAATAAAAAAGACCTGCTAATTCAAATTTATTTAAATACCATTACTTTGGCAAGGGAAAAGCCCTCCACTGAAAAAACTGTACTAACGTATTCGTTCTTAAAACTAAAAACCCCAAATTTCCAGTACAGTCAATTCACAATACAAAATTGAGCCTTCTATAATTTTTATGAGCAAACTCTGTTATAAATGATCAGTTGGGATGATGATATCTCTGTGAATTGCCTAATGGCAATGGCTTCGTCAGTACCGGACAGGCGGTCCTCGATTGAAGACAAAATGAGAAAAAACCAAGAAAGTACTTGATAAAAATAGCTGCGTAAACGCAAGAGTACCCAAAATAAATGTTTCTTGTATAATACATTCAATATCCGAAAACAATTTATCGCTCTAGACATTATAAATACTCAATTTGCCAACGGAAAATTAATCAACTTTTTATCTTTCATTGATATTTATTATTTATTTGTGGATTCCACCTTTGTTAGAAGGATAAACAGTGGGAGCTAATCGATATTCGTTTTCGTTCAGAAATCATCTCCCTCAGTGTAACATTATCTACTATAGAGTTATAATTTCACTTAAAAATACAATGAAGTTTCTCTTTGTTATATCGTTGTTTCTCGTACCTTACAAGTCTATTCAAATTTCACTAGATGACTTGAGATTCCGTCTTCGTCGAACGATAGATTTTTTTGAAGAAAAATATACACAGTTTGGTTTTGATGGCGCCTTCGGCTTAACATTAGCAGAAGGTGAGTACATATAATATTTAAAAGTATGATAACTTATGGATAGAGTTACTTTAGTTACCACAGAACACTCAAATTGTCAAAATATAATTATTTCACTATGACATTTTCACTCACTACAGACGCTAATACCGAGTTAATGACAATAATTTGTAAAAATCTATGTGTGACACTGCTGTGCAGTAAACGTTTGCAAAACTGTACGATTTGAAATAGTTTTGAGAGATTGCAGTACACTAGAATAACTATTTTCCCTACAATAGTTACCAGTCAGTAGAGAGTTGTCCTGGAAACTTTGAGAAGAAAATTGGATTATATAATTTAGGAAACACTTGCTACATTAATAGCATTTTACAAGTGTTGTTCATGACGAAGAATTTCAAGAACGAGGTTTTAATGATGAACGAGAACGGTAATGTTTCCTACTTAGTCACCAAACTTAAACACCTGTTCATGCAGCTGCAGTTTCGTAAGAATGTATCATNCTTTATGACGGTCTTCTAATGAGTCGCTTTGAGAGTACGCGATATCGTGATCTTTACAATATTCGTCCAAAGGATTTACACCGGTGTCACCGCGTTCCAATCTCTTTTTCAATTTGGTGCCTGGTCCGCAAAACTGATAACCAGGTAGATGTAATTCGAACGGGAGCTTATTGATAATCGAATTTACGACACCTGCACCGTAGTAAGTCAACATTGAGAATGATTGGGTGATAACTGTGATGTTTTTATTTATAACCGTAGCGTACTCATTATCCAGCACCACATCATGAAAGTCGTTCAACAAGACAAGACATTACCTATTGAAAATTTAGACTTTTTGAATGAAGCCAACAATAGAAGTGTAGTTGGGAAGCATGGTACCCAATTCGTTTCGTGCAATAATTTGTGGACCGAGTGGTTGTGGAAAGACAAACGCTATCTTAACATTGCTATTCCACCCGAATGGCGTCAAATTTGAAAATATCTACGTATATTCAAAATCATTGTAATGGAATATTCTTTGGAATTGCATCTGCGCAAATACTGCTAACTGACCCTCATTGACTGATGTCGAACGAATCGATTTCCATTGTTTACACTAGCCTTCACGCATATTTCCTTGGAATTTCACCCACATTCGGTACGTTTACATATTAAACAGATATTATTGTAGTCGGAAGTACAAAATTTGTTTTTCAGCATCGATGACGACATATTCTA